GCTTTCTGGGGTTAGCCGGGTATTATCAGAGATTTGTGAAGGATTTTTCTAGATTAGCCTCACCTTTGACTAGATTAATAAGGATGGGAGTCAAATTTGTGTGGGATGAGACTTGTGAGAAGTCATTCCAGGAACTTAAGGTTAGACTCACCACTGCTCCAGTCTTGATTATTCTAGAGAGGGGTTTGGGTTATTCTGTATATTGTGATGCCTCACGGGAAGGTTTGGGTTGTGTTTTGATGCAAGAAGGAAAGGTAGTAGCCTATGGCTCACGGTAATTGAAAACACACGAGAGGAACTACCTTACTCATGATCTAGAATTAGCAGTAGTGATATTTGCCCTAAAAATTTGGAGGCATTATATGTATGGTGAGAAATTTGAGGTGTTTTCCAATCACAAGAGTCTGAAGTATCTGTTTACACAGAAAGACTTTAATTTGAGACGGAAGAGGTGGATAGAATTCATAGAGGATTATGATTTTGAGTTACATTATCATTCGGGAAAGGCCAATATTGTGGCCGACGCCTTGAGTAGGAAATCAATTAGCAGTGTAGCTTGTATCGCCATTCGAGAATGGGAGATGTTGGGTACTCTTAATAAGTTTGACTTGCACTTGGGCGAGTCTGTTGAGTCTGCAGCCTTGTTTTCAGTGGTTGCTCAACCTATACTTGTGAACTGAGTATTAGAAGCACAAAAGAATGACCTTGAAGTAGAAACCCTCAGGGAAAAGATCTCCAATGGGAAGGTAAAGAAGGGTTTGAATGTGTATCCCGACCAGAGTGTGAGATACCGTGACCGCTTGTTCGTACTAGAGTCTTGCCGAGAGGAAGTACTCTAAGAATTTCACTATTCATGCCTTGCGGTGCATCCGAGAGGCACAAAGATGTATCATGACCTTAGTCACTAGTTTTGGGGGAGAGGTATGAAGAAGGATGTGGCGGTGTTTGCATCGAAATGTCTTACTTGTCAACAAGTGCAGGCCGAGCATCAGAGGCCAGTTGATTTGTTGCAACCCTTACCTATAGCCGAGTGGAAGTGGGAGCATATCACAATGGATTTTGTTGTGGGACTTCCAAGGACTCAATGGGGTAGTGATGCCATTTGGGTGGCAGTTGACCAGTTGACCAAGTCGACACACTTTATAGCTATGCGTGTAAGCAACTCGGTAGACCATCTTGCTGACTTGTATATCAAGGACATAGTGAAGTTGCACGGGATCCCTGCGACGATTGTTTCAGATAAAGATCCACGTTTCACGGCTCAGTTGTGGCAGAGTTTGCAGAGTGCCTTGGGCACTAGATTGACCTTTAGCACCGCGTATCACCCTCAGACTGGCGGGCAGTCCGAGCATACCATCCAGATCCTTGAGGATATGCTTCGAGGTTGTGTCCTTGACTTCAAGGGGTCATGGGAGAGGCACTTGCCCTTAGTGGAGTTTGCCTATAACAATAACTTTCAATCGAGCATTGGCATGGCACCATTTAAGGCCTTGTATGGCTGACCGTGTGGACCTCCGGTGTGTTGGGCCGAGGTGGGTGATACACCTTTGTTAGGTCCAAAGTTGGTTCGGGAAACGATGGAGAAAGTGGCACTTATCCGTAAGAAGTTGATTACGGCCCAGAGCCTCCAGAAAAGTTATACTGACCGTAGGAGGAGACCCTTGTCTTTTGAGGTCGGAGACCATGTGTTTTTGAAAATATCACCTAGGTGGGGTTTGATGAGATTTGGAAGGAGTGGGAAGTTGTGCCCTCGATTTATTGGGCCTTTTGAGATCCTTGAGCGGATTGGAGAGATTGCTTACCGTTTGGCATTGCCGCCATAACTTTCTAGAGTGCATGACGTATTTTATATTAGTATGCTTCGGAAGTATGAGCTGGATCCATCGCACGTGTTGGATTGGACCGACTTGGAGGTAGATGAGGATGGCTTGTATGAAGAGAGACCGGTGAAAGTCTTGGATAGAAGGGACCAAGTCTTGCGAGGCAAGACAATCCCCTTAGTTAAAGTATTGTGGAAACATCACGGAGTTGAGGAAGCAACTTGGGAACGTGAATTGGAAGTCCGAGAGAGATATCCGAACTTATTTGTTGATGTTTAATTTTATATTGAGATTTTCATTATGTAAATGAAATGTAAAGATATTGTATATGTTATGGGCATTTTGGAAACATGGATTCAATATAAGCATTGCATATGTTTTGAGAATTTGGAATGTTAAGGGTGTTGTATCACTTTTGGAAGCATTGTATGTGTTATGAAAATTCTAAAAAACTCGGATTTTGATTAAAAATTGTAAATGTTTTGGGAAATTGTAAGTTTCATTTTGATGAGGGACTTGTGTATCGAGTCGATGAGAATGGATGACCGAAGGATGGGTCATGGTATCAAATTTGTGAGAATAACATTGTTATGAATGGTCTAATGTTGATTTTGAACTTGATTTGAAATTTCAGAGACGAAATTCTTTAAGGGAGAGGTTATAGCGATTCCGGTTTTGACCCGTCACTTGTTTTATTCCGGACTCGGGTTTGTATGGTTTTGTATGGTGATTCATACCTTGTTTCCCTTGCCTCTTCCTCTATTTTGGTTATTGGGTTGTAGTTGTGCATTTGGAACAAGTTGGTTGCTTGCTTTTCCAAATCTTGTTGCCCAGATTTTTGCTCCTCTGCGCTCGAGCGAGCTATGTAAATTTTGGTTCTTTGCTCGAGCGGCCTTTTTTGCGCACAAGTGGGATTTGTAAACGCTCAGTACTTTGCACGTCTGTAAAAGTATTGAAGGGGTGTTTTTAACGCTCGAGCGGCATTTTCTATGCTCGAGCGAGTTGGCGCTCGAGCGATCTTTCTTGAGCTCGAGCAGGCCACTTCTTGTGCTCGAGAGGAACAACTTATTATGTCTGATGCTCGTGCGTCAACTCTTCCGCTCGAGCGGACTGTACGTATATTAAATCGCAAAAATGACTTTTTACATTACTTTTTCAAATCTATTTACTTCAAAACCCTATAACCAAGAGCCTCTCTCTCTAAACTTGCCTTCTCTCTACATTTCCATCTAGATCTAGTGATTTCTCCATCTCCTTCCTTTGACAAAAAGAAAGAGCTTCTCAAGATCTTCATTTTTATTCGAACAAACTTGGGTTTCGGTATCTTTAGAGTTTCAACCTTGCTTTGCTCGTATTCTCTTCTTGAGGTAGGGATTTTTTACACTTTAATATGGTTTTTAACTTAGTTATTTGTCATTGTGTAACAATGGTGGGATTTGGGGATAGTGTGAGCAAACCTAGGGTTTAGGTGAAAAATGGAAAGAGGGGTTTTGGTGAATGAAAGGAAAAATGATTCTGGGGTTTGAAAATGATATTGTATGGTGTCAAAATTATTGTTTTTGGTACTTGGTTGACATTTGGAAAAAAAATGGGTTTTTTGCCCTAATTGAATCAAATTGTTATTTTGTATAAATAATTAAAATTGGCATTGAAAATGTGAAATTGGATGATTATTGATATAAATGATGGGTTTGGATAGGTATTATCTCTTACCTTTGGAAATTTTAAATAAGCTATCTATCTTGAGATTGTATATCTGTTTAGAAATAACTGTATTGGACTATCGGTGGAGGATAGCTATGATTGTTGTAGAAATTGCAAGAGGATTAGATGAATTAAAACTAATCAATGATTGGTTATTATTGAATATGATCTTGTTGTAAATACATTATATATGTATGTTTATTTGGGAGAAGAAATGGGATGGACTCCACTGTTTGGAAGGAGAAAGGGAATGGACTCCATTATAATTAAGTTGGCCGGAGTGTCTTGGGTGAAAGTCCTGAAATTTAAACATAGGTGCCAATCTCGCGGACGAAATATCCGTAAAATGGCAAATTGAAGTGTTTGTGTGTGAATGGTGTGATTGTAGAACCAGTGAGTTGCAGTCTCATTTGGGCTACTGAAAAATAATGTAATTGGCTTATATACTGAAATGAATTGAAGGGAAATGAAATGAAACACAGTCTTGGTATTCTATGACTATATAAAAATGAAAATGTTTTATCCTTGGCATTGTATATGCACATAGCACTCATATCTTTGTTAAATCACATATATTGTGTTAGATCATTCCTACTGAGCTGTGGCTCACCCTATTTGGGAAAAACATTTTCAGGCATTGATGGCATGCCTCCACCAAGGCAATAGCATTAGAGGGACTTTTGGGAAGCAAGAGCTTCTTTATTTTGTTTTCACTTTTTATATAGTCTAGGGCATAAATTGTATGAGCTAATCTCTTTTTTGTTGTAACCAAGCCAAGACTTGGAAATATGTAAATCCTTAAGGCGTTTATTTGTATTGAACTCTTTTGTAGTATGAACTCTAAGTAATGAATGAACATTATACTCTGATACATGCTGTTAATTGTATTTATTCTATGTTGGATTTATTGTATACTTTTGGGGGCGTTACAGGTTAACTGCCATGATTTCATGTGTAGGGGTCAAAACAAGATTTGGTGCAAAGTGTAATTTACCCTTTTTTAAATAAAGTTGATTAAAATATGAATTGTCTAATGTTGTTTTAGAAATTACATTTCATTTTCTAACATGTTTAATTTTATAGAAAATAATTTTTTATTAATAAATTATCAAATTAATTAATAATTTTTAATGATATTCGAAATTTATTTCAATTACTAATTAAGGTAATTTTATTATTGTATAGGAAAACACTTAAGAATTTTATTTTTTTACTTAATTCTGTTAAATAAAAAATTTTGACAATTAAATATTTTTGATTTTTCAAACCACAGGTGTATTTTAAACAAATCTTAGAAGGTATATTTATAATTTTTTTTTATCATATATAAATATACACATAAATGGAGTGGTGTATGATAAGGATGCAAGAAAAATTGAAAAAAAAAAATTGATCAAATCGATTCTGCCTGTTTCTTGCCATCTTTCCACAGCCGTTACATGGTCCTTTATCATTATTAGGAGGGGGGAAAATCATGAAAATCATGAAAATCATCCAAGTTAAAACCAAATCCATAGATTTACCTGTATGGTAGGCATTTTCTGCACAAGTTTTGGAGTCCCCCACATGCATGAAAAGGAATAACAAAGTGTCAATCACCATTCCTGCAAATTTATCAATCCAGTATGGTTAAAGAAGAAAAGGTCCAGCATGTTTACAACTAATTTCATCTGAGCATAATTAATTAGAAAGGAAATGTTATTTTTCCAGCATATATACTAACTAGAAATGTTCCCTCTCCTCCAACAACAGGAAACTATAAGCTCTGTAAAAACAAATTCAACAACAGGAAACTATAAGCTCTGTAAAAACAGATTCTCTCACAGACAAAACTAATCATAACAACAACACAGCAGCAGCATTAACTACACTCCTAGAATTTACATTGAAGTGTCTACAAACATGCCAAAGACAAGCCAAACAAAAAATAAAGAAAGACATGCCAAACACACCAGATCCTAGTGCAAGTGTTCTGCAACCACTCATGCGGAACCATAGAATGTTGCTTCGCCATTGCAAACCATTCTAATGATTATTTTGATATAGATTCTTGAATATCACCCAAATTTCTATCAAAATGAAAATGTTGTGTCTATCACTACCCAGTCCACCAAGCAAGTTTGCACACAACCCATTAACCAGCATGAATTGGCTATGCAGATAAATAAATGTTTTAGGGTGCTCCTATAAGAAAATGCCATGCAACTTTTAAGACGAGGCCCTAAGATCTTTCAGAAAACTAATAATACTGTAAGCAAACAGTAGGCAACAATGAAGGGTACAATAAAAACCATATATCAAGGCAAGTTCCACAATAAATTACCATTAAACTAAACATGAACTTGAATTGATTTCTTCAAGTAAAATGGGCTAAAAAAATATTTGAAACTCACTGGAGTGAGCTTGTTAAAAAGTGGCGCAATTAAAACGTCGTACACAGTCATCATCACAAGAGATAGTACAAGCTATCAAATAGCTAAAATAAAATTATCAATGATTTACCTCAACGTCTTCAGGTTCAGCTGGTTTGGATGTTTTTAACTGTCCAACAGCATCTCCTTTCTTATTGACACCCGATTTTACAGCCCCTCATTTCTTACTAGCAGGCTGAGAAAACATATAAACCCAATAATAGAACACAAAGATGCAAAAAAATGTTATCTAACACAATATGCATAAAACAGGACATGCTAAGAAAAAAATTATAAGAAAATACTCACAACAGCCTGAACAGGTTTCTTCCCACTAAGCATGCTTACTGCCGATTTTTTGACAAATGATCCTTCAGAAACCTGCAAAAAGATTAACGTGTACATCATATTGAAGCTAGATAAACATGTCGAAATGACTCATTGGAGGCCTAAATTCATAAGATTTAAATTTCACATGCATTTATAACACCATGATGAGACATAAAATTTGCATTAAGCTTTGATTTTGTCTTCTCTCATATATAGCACTAATAGCACATTATATTTCTTTTCCCAAAAAAGAGACAAATTTTACTATGAAAACCGAAGAATCTACCTTGACCATGGATAATAGTTCAGTTCAAGGCAACTCTGGCATCATGGTTAATAAATCAGGATATGAGAATGGTGAGAGAGTCTAGTCGATTGAATCGTATCGGATCAAGAATCATAAGATTATACTTTTATAACAATGAAAAAAGGTAAAAATACCAACAAGGATGATGCATAATAAAGATGAGGTGAAAAATCACCAACCCAAAGATCCTAACTGCAATCCTACAAGATCCTACTTACAATCCAGCTATAATATACCAATTTTACAACAGTTTGGATCTTTTTGACCATTTAGGGTCATAAGATTCTACAAGCCTACAATCCAGATCGCAATTGTTATTATCATGTCAAGCATATACATGAGAACTCGAGTTTTAGGCCCTTGGAGCATTTGGATCCATTCTCATCCTTAAATGCACACATTAGATGGGTCCCTAGATCAACAAATAAGACAAAAAATGTTGGCTAAAAAAGGGAACATCTTAGTCACTTCCTATGACAGGTCATTTTTAACCTCTATAAAATTTCAATTGGATCTGAAAAGAGTGTGGGCTTTGTTTTGCATTTGGTCATATAGATTTGTTAGTCCTATGCTTCGGTTTTGATGACGTCTTTGGATGCTTTGGGTGGTTGTGTTTCATTGTGATATATGCTTGACATCCCTAACACAAAATTAGTACCTTGAATTTGATAAACTTATGCCTACTCTCTAATAATTATCCCATTATCTTGCTTTAATACTTGGTATATTGATCTCAAATCATTTGGCATTTGAGCACACACTCGTTCTTGCATTCTAAAACTTGGTCCTTACTATGGGTAATATACATCACTATTTTATTCCATGGGTTGGGTAACAAGCTTCTTATTGTCTTGAAGCACCCCTTTTTCACTTCTTTTTTTTTTTTAATCTCATCCATCCATTGTATCTTCTTTTCTCTAATGAAAATTCCATGGATCCTTATCTTTTGGAGAAGAGATGAAGGAGGTAAGTAATTGAAAAAGCAGAACCCTTTTGAGTAAGCCAAAAATGGAATTTTCATTAGAAGTTCCATCCACCAAAATTCTAGTGTCAAGATTACTTCATGAAGCCCTAAAATTTCTATTAGTTCATAGGTAAAAAGTATACAAAGCATGGCCATTAATTTGAAAGGCAAGAATAAACTCACCGCTGCAGAAGAAATGCTTCCACTAGAAGTTTGAACTGTAACTGGCATATCATGATTATTATCAGCATAGAGAAAACCTCAAAGAATGTATCATTTTTTCAGGAGAAAAATTGTAACAAATTTAAAACAATAAAATAATTCAAACCTGAGATTGAACCAACTGAACCAGCTCCAGAACCCCCAATCATTTCTGAAAGCTTCTTTTTTCTAACGTCATCCAGTTTCTCCAACGATTTTTCTAAAGGCCTCATGCCAACCACCTAGAATAGAAAGAAAAATGAAGAAACAATAATTAGTGCAACAGAAGTAACTAGCAAATCTTGGTCTATTTCCTTCACAAGTTTGGGGAAAAAAATAAGAATCAAGTTTTACTAGGAAGACATGATATAGTTGAGTAGCAATATGATTGAAAGGAATACCTTAGCCACTGCTGCCAAAGCAGAAAAGGCTGCATCCCTCACTTCTGGAGTCCCATCATTGAGGCACTAAAAGAATTTGATTTAACATAAAATTTAAACAATATCAGCATTATATATGTACACACACACACACACAAACTAATTAGTTGACTCAGAAAGTTTGATTAATAACTCATACTTTTCACGATTATTATCATTTAAAATAAACAAGTAATTACAAATAGGCCTGGAAGTGAGTATACCCAGTAGCATTGGCAGACATTTTCCGGATATCCCAAAGTTTGATGGTCTGATCTTTACCGTTTGAAATGAAATAACGACCATCTCCACGGCTGTCAAGAAATGTAATCCCTTCTACGTGTCCCACCAGGACCCCCTGTTGGCTTTCCCTCTGCTTTAAAGCAACGTCTGTCCCAAACCTATCACAGTAACAAGTTAACATGCAAAATTAAATAAGCTAATGTAAATTCATCGCTTTCCCCGCTTGTCTAGAAGTGGGCAGAAATTTGGACAGAAAAATTAGTCCATGAAATATAACTTGTACAATAAATTTCACACCATCTATAGACACAAACCTCAGTTTAGTCCTTCCTCGCATCATTTCCTCTTTCCGCTTGCAATGCCCTCTTCTGAAACAATAAGCCCATATTAAAATGCTACACTTACTTAAAATTTGTACATGCTAAAAAAGCCATCTAGAATTCCACATGTTCACATTCTCATCAGAAATAGCAAAATGAAAACTAATTTTATCCTCAAAAATTGATGGCTAGAATAAGATTACTTAGAAAAAGTAGCTAGATCCTCTCTATACATATATACACAAACACACAACACAAATAAGCAATAGAAAGTTGTTTGGATATAATAAAAACATTATTAGACATAATCAAGAGCAACAGTACACATTAACAAATTACTCAAAAGTAATTATAAGTAATTAACTGTAACAAACTAATGAGGGCAATGTTATGGAACAAACACGATATTGACAGAAAAAAAAAGTTCAGACACATACCAAATGTAACTCCAACTGCCATTTGCATGGTTCCTACAATGCAACCATAAGTAATCATACTCATACATATAGTTCAAACATTAGCATGAAGAATCCCATCCCACAATGATGGTTTCAACCAATTCTAATTCACAGGCAACTGTAACCATAAGAGTAATTAATTAAATACTAGCATATATGAAACATTGAAACATTGGAACCATAAAAAAAAATAAACAAATAGCATGACAGAGCCAGCAAATTAAATCAAATAATGAAAAACCCAAATCCACAGTAATAAATTAAATCTAAATCAAGTTCCATCAATCAGAACAATAAGGTTTTTACCATAGCCAATTTTTCTTGACCCGGATTGAAATTGCGAGGAAAAGAACAAGATCAAACCGAACCCCTATAAGATGCAATCTGAGAATGAGAACACAAATCAAACCATACATATATATATATATATATATAAACAGATAAGAAATGAGAGAAAAGAGGAATTTGAAGATGGAGTTTTGAATCACAAATCCAAGAACTCAAATGTTATAAATGCAGTAAAATTCGAAAGAAATAGAGCGAGAGAGAGAGAGAGAGAGTACCGATTAAAGTTCAAAACCAAAGTAGACTATTCGCGGCCATTGGGGCTTGAAATGCGAGTAATCGAGGGGTCAGAGTTCAGATCTGAGCTTTTGGAAGACGAGAAGAGAGAGTTTTAGAGAGAGAAAGTGTAGGTATATATATATAGAGAGAGAGAGAGATGGTGGAGCTCACCTTAGTGAAATGAAAATCGCAGGTGCAAATGGTGGTGGCGATGGAGCTTCGAAATCGAAATCGCTCTGAAATCACTGAATCTCTGAGTCTCTGCAAATAAGGATCAAGTAAGAATGCCTTCAAACATTGATTTCATAGATCTCTCTATTGATTTCATAGATCTAGAGAGAGAGAGAGAGAGAGAGAGACGGTGGAGCTCGCTACCTCGAAATTTGGAAAAATAGAGCTTAGTAGATCTAAATCGAGAGAGAGAGAGAGAGCAGATGGTGGGGCGATGGAGCTTCGAAATCATTCTGAAGCTTCGAAATCGCTCTGAAGCTTCGAAATCGCGGGTGTAGATGGAGCTTCATGGAGCTTCGAGAGGGTTGAGAGAGAGAGAGAGAGAGATGTGCGTATAAGGGTTGAGAGAGAGAGAGTTGTAACTTTCAGAGTTTCTCTCGCACAAAATCAAAATAAGGGTTTCAAAATGAGCACGGAGGAAGCGCGTGTACCCACCGCATTTGGAGGCGTTTTTAAACACCTTCAATTATAAAACGGTGCCGTTTTGATTAAAAAATATGTGGCGGTTATAAAACGTCGTTAAAAATTAAAAAAAGTGGCGTTTAAAAAAACGCCGTTAAAAAACGCCATTAAATCTCATTTTTCTTGTAGTGTATATCGATTCTCAATATAATAGAACCGACATTATCAATTCGATATAAAATTTTACCTAAATACCAACCATCCTGAACCGATTACATTCCTAGTAGGCATGCCTTCCATGCTTGAAGGTTTGCAAGGGAGTTTGGGAATGGGGTGGCCGGCCATAGTGGTGTGAAAAGAAAATAAGATACATCATATATAGAAAATTTCTTCTTCTTTTTTCATATAAAAATATTACCCCCAAATTATTATTTTTAAACAATAAAATATCTAACACCTCTCACTAAAATGTCTAATGCCTCACAAATATGAAACTTCATGAGGCTCACCTTGAGTCATACTTTGATCATCAAAATTCCTAATTCAAGAGTTCTAATTTTGTTATATTGGAACTAGGGGTGCAATTTGGGTAGGCTCAACTTGAGCAACTTGAACCCAGTTCGAATTTTTTTAGGGCTTGGACAAGATATTTTCAAATTCGGTACAAGCTTGGGCAAAAATACAAAAGTCCAAATTAAATTTGGGCGGGCTTGGGTAAAGACGTCAAACAACCCGAAACCCGAATTATACATATATAGATATATAAAAACATTAAATATACATATAAATTATTAGCCATTGCATGATATTAAAGTAATTTAAATTATTAAATCATATTGAATATATATTATATATACAAATAATATAAAATCTTACTCTTTTTTTTTTTTTTTATTTCACTCATAAATTATAAAGACTACTATAACGACATCTCTATTACATTATATAAATTATTTGTTTTGATGGTATTATAATTTTCTATAAATAAAAAAAATGTTAATAGAGTCAAATTTTAATAATTTAGTAATGTAGCTACAAAATAAAATAAAATAAAATAAAATTGAAATTCATTTACAATTCTAAGTAATTTGGGCAACTTAGGTAATTCGGGTTTAACTCAGGTCGGGCTTGAGCAGGTAATCTCGGGTTACAATTCGAGATTAGACAGGTCTCAGCATAACTTGAATTGCGTTTAGACAACCTTCCAACCCAATCAAACCTGTCCGAATTACCCTACTACAGACACGTACAAGTCCCACGTGGATAGAAGGAAAGTCGAAAACAAAACTAGTTGGCTTATAGTAGTGTCTCCCCATAATGTAATCTTCAGTGTAAATTTTTAGGTGGGCCAATAAAAAAATACTCTGAATTTGGTATTTAATTTTTCATTTTTAATCTGGACTCCTACAAATTTTTGTGTTGTAATTATTTATGTAAAAAACTAATTTGATTGAATATTATTAGACAAATTAATGATCTATAATTTAAAACCACATTTACCTTTAATTTTTACTGTGACGACTGTTGATATCCAATCTATTTAAATTGTCATTGAATTTTACAATTAACAATGATTCATCCCCCCTTTTTCCCCTACCCTCTTTGACCCCCTCTCTCTCTCATTGGTTATATTTTCTTTTTCTTTTTCTTTTTTTTCCCACTCCTCCAATCACCACCCGCCACGTGGCAAAGGGGGGTGAGGGGGTGACCCCCAAAAGGGGGTCCCAAGCATTATTCAATATTTTAATGATAGGACTTTTGACCAAGTAAAATTGTGATTTGAATTTATGGGGAGAGAGAGGGGGTCAAAGGGGGTGGGGGAAAAAGGGGATGAATCATTGTTGTTTATATAAAAGGAGAAATTTAGAAAAAATGACCAACATATTCTACGGTCATGTTTGATTCACAAGATTAATAGTGAAGTATTAATAATCTTATTAAATTAGTGTGGTATTCACTATCTAATTGGATTAATATCTATTGGATTAATAATCTCACCCTTACCCGATTACTAATAATCCTAAAAATTTGTTGGATTAATTATCTATTAGATTAATAATCCTAAACCAAAATATTAAAACAAACATAGAATAATTAAACACACGAATTAATAATTTCAATCACATACTCTAATCCACCCAATCAAACATGTCCTACATGTATAATTATACGGTGATGAGATGAGATTCTCAAATCCATTACATTTCTCTCTCTCTCTCTCTCACACGCGCACACACACCCACACACTTCTTCAAACCCTAACATTCTCTCTCTAAAGATAGAACTCTGGCTGCCTTCCTCTGCCGCTTACTGTGCCAATGCCACCGTCGCTGCCACTTTGCAGCTGCTGCTGTCTATCTCTCTTCCCTCTTCTTCATCTCTGATTCGTCTCTCTCTCTCTCTCTCTCTCTCATCTATCTCTCTCGGAGGCAAATTTGGGCGATCTTGATTTGTCAGAGATATCCTTGTCCAGATCTGGTTGTCCTCGTCACCTGTAAGTTCGCCGGTGCCGTCGAAATCACCGTCGACAGTCTCTGGCTCCCGATTTGGTCCTCCGCTCATATTTACAAACAAACAGTCTCTGTCTGTCTGTCTCTCTCTCTCTTCGCCGATTCTAGATTGAGGACTTCTTGTTGTTCCCATGCCCTTGTCTCTGCAACCAACACCAATCGGATCGTAGAAAGAGAAGGGAAAAAAAAAAAGAAACATCAAAAACTTGTTCGATGTCAATTTCTTCGACAATTGTGGTTGCTTCAAGCTCCTCTTGGGCTCCCGCCATGCTTCAAATCTCTCCTTATACCTTCGTCCTCGGCATTGCCATCGCTATTGGTATCTTCGTTCTCGACGTTGCTTGGTATATACATATATATATATATATACATGTGTGTGTGTGTGTGTGAATTTGTATACATGTATGTTCGAAATTTCATTTTGATATATGAGGCCTTGATGTGTTTTTTTGATTTTGTGTTCAGGGGGATTTACATAAGAAGTAGTAGTTTGAAACATTGCATTGCATGACTTGCAACAGATAAAAAACTTTTTTTTGACACAAACAGATTGTTTTTAATAGATAGCTGATAATCGGGGAGTTTTTGCCATTGTTGTTGGTGTTAGTGAAGAGATAAGTTTAAAAAAATTAATAATCTAACTGATAATTTCAATAGATAAGAAATTCAGCAGAGAGAAATTCCAACAGATTAAAAAAATTGAACAGATAAGGGAAAAATTTGAACAAATAGAAAAAAAAAAAAAAAAAAAAGGAAACATGTAGAGATAAGAAAAAAAATTGAACAAATAGATATAAATTTGAATGGATAGTTAACGAAAAGTCAACAGATAAATTAAAAGTTAAAATTAGAAATAAAATGTTGAAATAGACTTCTCACCAAATTATTTTATAAATGGTGGATCTTTCACCAATTAAAAATATGGGACACTTTTTCATAAATTTCTTTTCACCTACTTATATTCTATTTAGTCCACATTATTTTCTTATGTTCTAATAAGTTTTATAGGTGACATACTTATCAAAATACCCTTAATAATATTCATATTCACATTGTGAATGTTCCGTGATGTAAATGTTCATACTGTCTATGTAAATGTTAACATGTCAATGTGAACATTTACACGTCAATATGAATATTCACATTGTAAAATATGATTGTTCACATCATCAAATTGCTAACCGTTTAAAAAATATTTGTAAGGGTAGAAATGTCCATAAAATACGTTAAATATGAGAGTTAGAATTTGGTAGATCAAATATCCAAATAACAGGACTTATTAGAATATAAAAATATCTTATGGATTAATTGGGATACAAACCCTTGAAAAGGGATTTTCTAAAAAATTTCTCTAAAAATATCTATTGGATCTAATGTCTTATATTCTCCTTAGCTTGAATTTTTTAACAATTTTTTTTTAAGGAAAAATTATTGATCAGTGGAGATCAAAAAAAATATTTATAAAAAGGTGAAAAAATTTATAATTTTAGTTATTAATATTTGCAGTATTTATCATGTTTTTGTTAATGATTTTTTTGATCCCCACTAATGAGCAGTTCTCCTTTATCATTTATCATTTATCATTTGCTTATAATTGGCAATAGTCAAAGAAATAGAGGGGCAAGGAAGTAAATAGCTTTATAGTTGTCCTTAATGATAATGAGATCTGCAAAATGGACCACCCACCGGACATACGGAATTTAGGCTAAGTTTGGCTACTCAAAATAAGTACGCATTTTTTATCTTTTTATCTTTTTTTCATCACATCATCTCTTTATTTTTCTGTACATCTTTTCGTAAAAAGACAAAAAGTACATTTATTTAAGTTAGCTGAACTTTATTATTGCTGTCACTGTTTTATATTCTAGACTTTACTATTTTAATCAGTATAGTTGCTAGTGGTTTTTCAAGGAATGTGTGTCCTTAAGTAGTGGACTTCGTGACACGAAAATAATAATAAAAAAATGACTTATTATTATTAAATAGATGATAACGAGAAGGATGATGTCACATTCACATTTGTCTTATTAGAAATAATAATAATAAAAAAGTCCTTTACATTCTTTTTTTTTTTTATTTATTCAAAAGAAGGATTACAGCAAAAGGAAAAAAAAGAAACAGCAAACAGGATATGAAAAAGAGGGCTAAACAAGCTGAAGCCCTTTCACAAGAGAGACCAATTATGTCTGCAACAAGCAGACTAGCAATTTCATTGGGTGGGTCTTCTAGAACTTCCAAATTTTCTCCATGATGCACTCTCATATTCGCAAGACCATCAGCACATTGGTTCCCTTCACGGAGTATGTGGCTAACAACACAGTTGCATCTGTGCATGAGGA